TCAGAATATGTCATCGAGTTCTATCCGAGCGATCTGGGTTGCAGCTCAAGCACCATATAAGGTGAATACGAGCGTTGGAAACTCAAATGGCTGAGAATCCCACGAGAAATGCGACCACGGAGCGCAATAGAAGCTCTGAACCATTGCTCCGAAGACGACTATCCGAAAATCTCAGCTTTGCTACGTGTGAGGGACACCTCGCTGGACCACTAAGAGGAGACACGATAAAATGTATCCTTAGCTCCGCGAGCGGGTGATCTGCACTGATTCGGGATGATTTCCCGAGGAAAACTAATCGGAGACGGGTCAGAGGGATCTGGGGATCACAACTGACTTTGTCCTTTGTGAAACTGGACCGAGTCCGATAAATGTGGTTATCGCGACTGCGGTTCGAGCTCTCAGTGGGTCAAGGTTTGCGCACACGTTGCCACACTGCTTGACTAATTGGTTCACACTCTTACTTAGTCGCTCATCAAGATGGCGACTCTGATTATTATCGATGGTGATGATTGATTGCCAATGCGGATGGGTTTTCCATCTCGGTCTTCGGTCTTAGTCCTCGAAGCTTGTCAGTGCAAATCGCCGCGCGGAGTATTCATTTATGTGAAATATGATATGATATTTCTCCAATAAAAGATTTACACTCGTAATGGTATGGTTATAATTATTATAGGTACGGAGAAAGAGAGCCGAGCTCCTACGTCCGGGAACGGTGCCATCCCTGGCTCTGTTGTGAGGGTGTTGTGTTCATTTGTGCGTGTGCTGTTGTTGTATGCATGAGACGCGATGACCGCAACGGAGCCCCCGAGGAGCCCGTTCGTGACACTCCCCCTCCCCCGGATTCCGGAAGGGAATCCCTAGCTAGCTTTCCCGAATCCCGGCCGTGCTGAGGAGGTCGCCGAAATTGGAGTACGGCGTTTTCTTGATATTCGACATTTTTCGCTTCATGTTTCATTCTCGCGCCTTCCACTCTCATCCTCCTCTCTAAAAAACTCTGCTCCGCCGCTGTTCGTCCGCGCTGGAGTTGTCACTTTTCGTCTTGTCTCCAGTCGATTCAGACGGATCTTTTCTTTGTGTCGAGATGAATCCGGCAGTGCCTGTCCCATGGTCCGCTCGGCGGAACGGAAGTCCCGAGAATTCTCCCTTCGGGATCTTCCGTCAAGATTTGGCGGCGACCGAACCCTACTTCGACTGGTACAACTCGGTGGATGTTCATGCCACTTGCCGAGTAGCGTGGGAGGAGTGTACCCCGCTCGAAAAATAGCTCTACCGTCGTGCCTCCGTCGTTCAGCGTACCGCCGAACACCACGGTCGGGTGCCCGAACCTGCCGCCTATCCTGACCTTCCGCGGATGTTGAGGTGAGTTTTCTGTGCATCGTGTTGATAATGAAATTAATGAATATATATTTTTTTCTTAGTTTCTCTCTCGATGATGTGCATATATTTCAAATCTTCTATTTCTTCTCAGGTTCCTCGTGCCGTACCCGTGGCATTTCGAAGAATACATCCGGAAGCTGAAGGAGGCGAGCGAAGACCACGCCGCCGATCCGTGTGCGCCCGGTGCCACCGTCCAGACGCCATGCGTTCAGGAGCGTTTGTTGTACGAGGAAGGGCCCTTCGAGTTGACGGCGCAAGTTATGGTTCTTGTCCGTCGGACGTACGCCGGGAAGCTCGGACTCGTGCGGCCCGGCCAAACACACCCAGACTACGTGGAGGTTCGTCAGAGGCTCTTCGCCCGGTTCGGGTTCGAGGTGGCGGAGACGTCCAAGTCCGAGAGTCCGTCCAGCTTGCTCGAGGACAGCGAGACCGCAAGTGATGGTCACGCCGAGCGTGTCAGGCGATACGTAGCCGAGAAGACCCCCTGGAAGCTCGAGGTGCAGGACCGGCGGGTCGCCCGGCTAGAGGAGGTCAGGGAGGAGAGGGACGCCCCGCGGCAAACTCGACGGGCGGAGCGCCCGCGCGTTTTTACGCTCGGCGTTTCGGGCCCCCCAGCTGGGCCGAACTTCCCTGAGACGGCCCGGCCGAGATAAAATTTTCCTTATGAATGATTGCAATAAATGTCATGTTTTATGATTGTTTTGATGATTTTTCCCTTCCGAGGAGCGTTTGGTCCCTCTCAGTCAGAGTTCTGGGTGAGGTTGTGCCCGAGGCCGTGGTTGATTTATTCGGCTTTTGATGTGCCCGGAGCTATTGGGTATAGCTTCTTGACAGCTCTAGTTAAGAGTTGTCCTCTGGCCGTGCGAAGTGTGCATGTTCTTGAATTCTCTGCAGGGACAGTATCAGGGAAGGATACCACTCTACAGGGGGGCACATTGCTCTGTTTGTATCAAGCCGATTAACCCAGCGGATCTAGATAGTATCGTCTTCTCGAAGAGATGGCTGTACCAACAGAAGATACTAATTGTAAGCTCATACTGGAAAA